AATTAATAATATAAGTATAACTAACACAAACATTATTGATACACTTTATTCAATATTATTCTTATATACTAAAATGACATGTGCGCTAGACATTGCTAGCCCTAGCCAAATCATTTTAGAAGTTTTAAGACAAAATTAATACGACCCTATGAGAATCACACTGGACACAAAGAATGGTGAGTGGCACTAATATCATCGATACGACCTTATGAGAATCATATTTCAAAAGCTAGCAATTGAGGTAGGATATTCCAATGCTATATATATGTGTGAGACTCAAGTATCATTTTTAACAATATAATAATATCATAACCTTCAAGAAGTGAACTGTAAATAATAAAAGCTTCAACTATCCCCTTAATTACATGCATATATTCATCTCTTTTTTGGTGGAATTCATATAATAAGATTAGAGGAGCTAGTAGATTGCATAGGGATATAAATAACTCTCTTCTAATTATATCACAAGAAGAGTATGAGGTAACAAGGTGATGGGAAACAGGGGCGGATCCAGGTAAGGTTGAACTCCTCGATAGAAAATCACACTTTTTCGAATGATTATAATTATTTTTTATGTATATATAATAGATGGTAAATGTGAATCTCTTTTGGCCTCTTCTTTTGTTTCTTCTTCATGTTTTGAACTTTTTTGGTAAAAATTCTGGCTCAGTTACTGATGACAAAGGTTAAAGAAATTTCTCGGAGACAGAATTGGAGAAAGATGATCAGATAGAAAAGTATATCTTGAACTTATTAAGAAAGTGTTTAATTAGTGAATCTGAACAATGGAGGTTTAACTGGCTTTTCACTATTACTACATCATTAATCCTATTAATTTTATCTTGAAAAGATATTTCTTATAGTATATATTATTTATAAACTTGAAGATGAAGCCAAGACAACTTTTAGAATTTGTCCTTTTGACATGAATGTGGAATCAATATATTTGCCACTTTGGAATTTAAATTATTAATTAACAAAATTTTATTGCATTAGTATCCGAAATTCGAAAACAGCCTCTCTACCTCCACGAGGTTATGATAACATAAGATTTGTGTATACTCTACCCTCTCCAGATCTAGACCCCACTTATAATGGGAACTCACTGGTTATGTTGTTGTATTATTCATTACAAATATCTTCTTCTTCTGTTTTTTTTAAAAAAAAATCAATACAGGAAATTAGAAAATTTGGATATCTAGGCTAACTTTACAAACGTCTTGTCCCTTTTATAAAAGATGATGAAAGAAACAAAATTTGATGTTATGGAGTTGCTACTAAATGCTAGAACCAATTGCCCTTTTTAAATTCTTAATTTAAATTTGAGAAAATAGTTTTATACATGGGAAATTTGACGATGGTGTTATACATTGTATTAGAGCGGGATGGTACCTTATGTGATAAGAATGTGTCACAAAGACTTAAAGGTAAGTTTTATTAAGAGGTTATCGTACCACCTATGTTGTATGGGGCGTAGTGTTGATGACCTGTTAAAAATTTGTGCATCCAAAAGATGAATGTTGTATAGTAGCGGTTGAGGATGTTGAGATGAACGTGTAGGTATACTAAAAGAAATAAAATTAATTAAGAGCAAATATATTTAGGACAAGGTGGAGCAGCCTCCGTGGTGAATACGATGAGGAAGATGAGACTGAGATGATTTAGACATGTGAATAAAAGATGCACAGATGCTCCAGTATGGAGTTGTGAACCATGTTTGGCCTTCCCCTTTTAATTACTAGTACTACATATAAATCCTGTCAAGTTATATATATCCTGAATTAAAATATACTTCTTCTTTTTTTAACTTGAAGATGAAGCCAACTTTTAGAATTTATCCTTTCAACATGCATGTGGAGTCAAAACATTGGTCACTTTGGAATTTGGATTTTTCACTTTTAATTACATATATTCCTTCTAATTATGATGAGCCATATCTAATCAAACTTTAGCTTCCCCTTGAAGGTGAATAATGGATGAAATGATGTGCATCTTTTGACTTGTGCGTGGTCCAATTATGTTACTCCCTCCGTTCCATTTTATGTGAGGAAGTTTGATTCGACATGAAGTTTAGAAAGAAAGAAAGACTTTTAAAATTTGTAGTCCAAAATGAATGATAGAAATTTGTGTGGCTATAAATCATTTCATTAAGGATAAAATACACATTTTAATAGTTAAATTGTTACTTAATATAGAAATATATCATTCTTTTTGGGACTGACTAAAAAGAAAAGTAAGTCACATAAATTGGGACAGAGGAAGTACTATTCATAAAATATATATTCCAACTTCCCATATATTCTTATATGAAATTATAACAACTTTAAGGTCTTGTGGAATTGACAAGAACCAAAAAAGTTTATTCTTAATTACATGCAAGTGTATATATGAAGCAAGTAAGTTCACTGTATATACTGATCAATGCAAGGGAATCCACTTTTATCAAAGTATTAACAGTCTAACAACAACAATATAATCAGTGTAATCTCATACGTAAATTCTGATGCATAATCTTATTAGTTACAATACTAATTAGTTCAAATACTCCTATGTATTATGAGAAATTGACTCAAATTTTGCAAATAATTGGAGTCACAATCTCCACTTTACAATAGTCTCCCTTAATATCATAATAATATATTCCCTTCCACATTATATAACTAGATGTTGACATAGATTTTTACTATGTATATATTTACTTAAGTTTACTCAAGTTTCTTAAGAAATAAAATACAATGTGAAGCATCTCACAACTCTCTTATCTTAAAAGAATCATAATAAAGTTCATGAAGTGGTAAATTCCCTTTTTAGATTCTTAGAACTTTTCTCAGATAAAATAACAAAAATGGTCCCTTATGTTTGCAAGTGAATTAAAATAGTCCTCTAAGTATGCACTAAATGCTTTAATCATTTATGTTTGCCAAATTTAACACTTTTAGTCTCTGTCAAATATTTATCGAACACTGTCTGTTAAATTTGATGTGAACTACGATAAAAAGGAAGCAAATTAGTGAGAATTCACATTTAGAGGTAGTTTTTTCTTGTAGTTTATGCTATTTTAACGTATTTCTAGAGTCTGATATAACTTTTTGATTTTTTTTAGTATTTAGTGTAGATTTTTGTGTTGCATATTTAAGGACTTGAAAAAACTTTCTTGGTGTTTATGGTTTATTTTTTTCCCCACTATTTTCGTCAAATCTAACAAACATAAATTATTAAATATTTGACTAGACCAAAATTATTAACTTGTGGTAACCTTTAAGGGACCCAAAGTGATTAGTCCATACTTAAAAGACTATCTTGAATCTACCCTCAAACATAAGGGACCTTTTTAGTCATTTTCTCAACTTCTCTACATTATACTCTATTTCTTTTGAGTCCCCTTTTTTCAATGCCTATATAAAGAGTCTCTAATCAATTTCATCTATACAATAGAAAACAACTTATAAGTTATCTACTTTCTTCAATTTCTACAATATATGGCACCTCAAATAGAATTTGTGAAAACTTTAAGTAGAGATCTTGGACTTTCCTTTTTGGAAGGTAGAAAAAGAAGATCATCTTCTTCTTCTAGTCCACAAAGGGTTGCATCATCACAAGAAGAACAACCAATACAAACTTGTGTTTATAGATATTATCCACATTCTAATATTGTTCAAGTTAATCCTGTTTCTTCTACTGAGGAAAGAGTTTTTAGTAGCAATAATTATCAAGTGCAATTTCCTGAGAGGAAATCAATTGCCTTGGCTTATTAATTTTGTTTTTGTTATGTAACTTAATATAGTATGTGCTACGTACGACGAAAACAATATATTCAGTATGTACTAGTTGATGCTTATTAGGTTTTTAAATTAACTGACCTTTTTAGTCAGGTTATCATCATCAATCGTGTACCTTTTATGTAGTTTCTACATTCTTGTAATCTTGCCTCGTGAATTATGTAATATTAACAAGGAGGAGAAAAAAAACTTTGGTTGTTGTGATTTTTGCTCAACATGCATGACCACTTATTTATTGCACTATTTGCTTAAGGAACTATGTGCGTCCATGATTATATGATATTATATTTAAGTTATTAAGAAAATATTATTAAAATTTTCAAAAATAGTGTATTGATGAAAAATTTAATATGAACATAATAATACTTTTGAAGAAGGCGAGCAACATAAATTTGCAAGTTTGCATCTAAGCAAAATCACTTTGGTGAAAGGTTGTCTTTAGTAATTTCTATACCAAGATAAAGTAATTAGATAAAGTTAAAGAAAAGTGAAACAATTGAACGTATATTAAATAAATTATTTCATAATTATGTTACGCAACTCTACCATAGCCAAACTATAATTGGACTAAGTCACGAGATATCTAAGAAATACTAACACTGATAGGAATTGTATTGCGTTTTTAATTATGTTAATGCATACATTAATTTTTTGTGCATTGTTAATATCATGATTTTCTATGTATTATAATAATACATGACATAATATCAAATAGAATGTATAATTAAGGGTTGTTTGATAGCTTATTTGGAGGTGATGATGTGTGTGCACGCGTGTGTGTTAAATCGTGCATAAGTTATACCATATTTGGTAGTTGGTTAGGAGGTAAGTTATTCATGTATAAAATTAATACTCCTATGATTTTTGATTTACAATTTAGAAACATAAGTTACAATGAAATCTATGTACAATATTGTTTTACGTAGAATAGAATGTGGAATAATAATACACGAATAACTAATCTTGCATAAAATATTACATAAATTCATTGATAACTAATCCTTATATAACTCTTACCAGCTAGTTATGCATGTATTAGTAATGTATGACTTAGTTATGAGAGAATTCATGTATTACTTATTCCACCTGTATAAAATAATACATGAATTTAATCATAACTTATACATATATTAGTCATGCAGATTTCTAAATTGTCAATCAAATATCGTATAAATCATACAAAAATTAATACTACATGAATAACTTATTTCTTATCGAACAACCAAACGACCCATCTATGACATGATTGCCCCTCAATGCAAGCCTTAATGAGGACCTTTAACAAAAGCACATGGATAGCGATCCGTGTCATCTCTCTAAGACCTAATCATTACCGTTCCTTAAAATTGAACGGTCCAGATTATCCCGCGCCGAAACTTCTTACTAAAATTTCAAATTTTCGTCCCAAAAACAAAATTTTCAAATTCCTCTAACCTATATATATACACTTCTCCTTCTTCACCAAATTCACCATTGAAACAACATATTCTCTGTATTTTCACTTTCTAGCAAGTTTCTACCAATGGCAAGAACAAAGCAAACAGCGAGAAAATCCACCGGAGGAAAGGCACCAAGGAAGCAATTGGCCACCAAAGCTGCAAGGAAATCAGCACCGGCTACCGGAGGAGTGAAGAAGCCTCACCGTTTCCGTCCAGGAACAGTGGCTCTTCGTGAGATCCGTAAGTACCAGAAGAGCACCGAGCTATTGATCCGAAAGCTACCTTTTCAAAGACTGGTTAGAGAGATTGCACAGGATTTCAAGACGGATTTGAGATTCCAGAGCAGTGCTGTGGCTGCACTTCAGGAGGCGGCTGAGGCGTATTTGGTGGGTCTCTTTGAGGATACTAATTTGTGTGCAATTCATGCTAAAAGAGTCACGATTATGCCTAAGGATATGCAATTAGCTAGACGTATTAGGGGTGAAAGGGCTTAAAATGTAGTACTTAATTCTGTTTTCTGGTTTTGTGTAGCTAGTTGGTTTAGTGTGTTTTTGCTTGAAATGAAAATGAAAAGTTCATCTTAACTCTGAAATTTGATGCTGTTAATGTGGAATGACAAAGAATGAAACATCTAGTAGTTTCTTACATTCGTTTGATTTTCTTCAAATATTGATAACTTTGAACAAACTTTGCTTTTGTGAGCTTGTTTATATTGCTGGTCCCAAACTTGGAAATTAGAGGATCAATTGAAAACAACCTCTATACCTCACAAAGGTAGATAGGTGTAACACCCTGCGATCTTACCCTCTCCAGACTCCATTTGTGTGATTACATTGAGTTTATTGTGGTGGTGGTGGTTGTATTGATGAGATTGAACTATTCTTTCATGCAGTATGGAGTTGAAAAATGTGTAACCTTTACCATAAGTATATACAAATTGATGAGCCAGGATATCCAGGTAAAAGTTTGACAAGTTGTTCGCGTTGCTATGACAGAACTCTCTAAGTAGGCGTTTGGTCATGCGATATCATATCACAATATGGAATTGTGAGATGGAATTAGCGTTTGGACATGCAATTTCGCTAAAGTTGCATTTGACATGTCAATCAACATGCAATGAGCTCTAAACATGAACTACGTCACACTAAAATTACCTCTCACAAACCTGGTATCAGTTTGGTCAGGGGTGTCGGGCATGTGTGGAGCCAAGCCTTGTTACATTGAAGTGTATCTAGCTATTCAAACAGCATATGATTTCACTAGCCAATTTATCGGTACCATTGATAGCCTTCATAACAAGTAATTAGTTTAGTGAATATAGCCCATTCCTCTGGTACTTCAACTGTACAGATGAGATGAGCTAGTTAAAATGGTCACATGAGGACACGACACAACTAAGACATTTGACTTCTTCAAAGACAGCAGATTAGAAGACTCAGGAATAATCATAAACTACAGCAAATTATAACACGGACTTATCTTTTAAAACGACATCGTTGTACCCAAATATTCTTACAAAACAAGCGATCAACTGCTCCTGTATCACTTCTTCAGCAGGAAGCTCTACATCTGCTTCATTCTTCAAAGAAGTAACACCTTTATCGACAATCCCACAAGGCACAATATGCTTAAAATAGTTTAAATCAGGATCCATGTTGAATGCTAATCCATGAGATGTGATCCCAGATGAAATTTTAACTCCAATTGCGCCAATCTTTCTGTCCTCAACCCAAACCCCAGTTTCACATTTTTGTCCAGCCTGTGCTTTCACACCATACATAGATGCCAATTCAATCATGGTTAGCTCAAGCTTCTCAACGTACATTCTAGCCCCTAAACCAATATCTCTCAACGAAACAATGGGATATAAGATCGCTTGGTGAGGACCATGAAAAGTAATGTCACCTCCTCTTTGCGTATAGTGAAGTTCTGCCCCCATGGACTTGAGCTCTGAATCAGGAATAAGTAGATTATGAACTGTTTCCCTTTTGCCAACTGTATACGTCGGTGGATGTTGTAGCGATAATAGGGTATCAATAATTTTTAGAGCTTTTCTATCAGATGTCAGCTTCTCTTGCAGCTTCAGTGCCTCCAGGTAATTGACAGTGCCCATCTTCCAAACCTCAAGACTGCGCCTCATTTGCCTGAACATCACAGAACAATCAATCATTCGTGTAAGTGAAGAATATTGAAACCACAAAATTAGGAAGTCCCTGTTTGTTGTGGAGAAGAAATATGATTCTAAAGTTAGCATGACAACGGTAAAGCATATCACTAATACAAGTTCTAAAACTCAAGACTGTTAGACAAACAAAACGACAAGCTCACGATATCAGATTTGGTGGCCGGAGCAGTTTCTCAGGTCACAAACTTATTCCAAATGTTATACTCTACATTTTCTCAAAGTAAAGACAAAGATACGCCTTATGCGCATAGAAGAGTTTAAAATAAATCTGAACTATTACAATCCAAAATAAAAGAAGTTCGATAAAAGTAAACCTACACTACCTAAACTAACCTATTCTATACTTCACCCGATGTCTCGGGGTCTTGTCCACAAACGGCCTCCATTCTCACATTTGTTTTCTTCGGGAAATGGATACATGATATTAGAAAGCAAATAAAATCACATAAGCAATCAAAAGTGTCTCAAATTGCCTACCTGAACCTCATTCAATAGACTAATATTGCAATAAAACTTGTTCCATAATTTAAACAAAACTTATTCTAAATCATTAATCAATTAGGCTTCTTTAATCACACAAATCATCTTTCATCCCAAATTCACCTAATTAGCAAACCATTATTATTCCTTTTAACTCGTCTTCATTCTAAACAAACAGATTGTCCATTCCATGAATCACAGAATCACATCGCCAGAAGATCAAATCGAAAAGGAAACAAAAATGAACATAGAGTTGAAGAATTGGAACCTCACTTCTCTTTGCAATTTTGGCTATGAACAGAGAGCTCTAGAACTTGGAGTGACCAAGGACCTCAAATGGTACTCATCATTCTCAACAGACTCTCACCAGGGATATATACCTTTTAAATCCAATTTAAAGATTTGTCTTTGAATCTGATTATTCAATGTAGTGCCAAATTCAATTCAAGATCTGGGGTTTTCCTTTTTTCCTTCTGTAATTGATAAAGTAATCAATTTCATCATTTAGTTTACAACAAAAAAGAAACACCCCTTTTACAAAATACAACCCTCTATGCTCAAAACTCAAAAGTTAAGGAAGCTAACAAAGCAAAATCTGTTTTTTTCCCTTCATTGACCTATCAAACATCAAACAGAAAAGCCCCTTGAAAGCATATGAGTGTTACATCAAAATATTCACCAAGAATAAATTTTTTTCCCCATTTACACCCTTTTGGTGAAGCTATATTTGGCAAACAAGGGGAAAAAAATCAATACATTTCTAACTCTTGATGAGAGGAGTAATTCAATACATTTATTCACAAAAAGGGAAACACTCAAATCAATTTAGAGAAAGAAAAGTAAGTTAAGGAATCATATATAAAGGATGAATAAGGTAGAGAGAGAACCTACAAGATTTTCAGGGGAAGCTTCAATTCACTGCAAAATCTTATTTTCTGTTAATTTTCCACTCCATTTCTTTCCACACCTTTGCTTCTCACAACTTTTTCCATGTTTTAGGGGAGAATCGAAATCTCTAACATGAAAATCTCAAGTTCAAATCATAGAACCACCACTTTATAAAAAATAGTATTTTTCCTGTAATATAATTTTAGCTTTTCATATTATGTTTAAAGTTATAAAATTAAAAAATAATTTAGTACATAAATCAATTTAGTTTAGAATTGACTTTTTTTTTTTAAAAAAACTCAGTATAAACTTTTTTTTTTTTTTTTGAAACAGTAGAGAATACTTTATCTTCTTCTAACCATTGGCCACCTTGGGCTCATGCTTATCTCTCCACGTGTTATACCAAGGTTCTATTGACATCACATATCTGATATCCCTATTTATTTTTCCATGTTATTTGTCTATCATGTTAAATAAAAAAATTACACATGCTTATTTATTTGTTGATCGAAGAAATCTTTATATTATGTATACACATTTTAAAAATATTAAATTTATTTACTTATAAAATATTGAAAACACTTCTAAATTTACTAGATGATATGGTATATGATCTCAAACTCTTATAACTGCGTGAGAATCTGTCTAGAAAAATGCTAAAAATACTGCTAAATAGGAGCCTCGAATTGCGGGACTACTGGTGTGAACATGGAATTGCGTGCCACCTAATTTTCCCCAATCTATATTTTGATTTTGATTTAGAATTGTATATACTGTTTTTTTTAGTAACTGAAGAGTTTGAGGCAGAAGAAGGAAGAAAGTAGAGCGATGGATCACGCAGCAGATGCTCATCGGACTGATTTGATGACTATAACTAGGTTCGTGTTGAACGAACAGAGTAAATACCCTGAATCTCGCGGCGATTTCACTATTTTGCTCAGTCATATTGTTCTTGGCTGCAAATTTGTTTGTACTGCTGTTAACAAGGTCAGTTTTACTTACTTACTATATATAATAGAGATGAGATCGTTGACTTTGATTGACTGTTACAATCTTACTTAATCACATTTGTTTCCATGCTCAATTTCCTCATCCAATCATTTATATGTTCTTCATCTCTAATTGTTATTTGGGTTTTGATGCCTGTGCGGGTGGTGTGGGAGATAACACGTATTAAGTGGAATACTCGAAGTGTGAGCAAGCTGGATGGATATAATAGTCATAAAAATGATAATCTTGTGTATGATGATTGTGTTGGTGGGAGATAATAAGTAGTAAATGGAATAATCGAAGTGTGCATAAGTTGGATGGATAGAATAGTCATTAAAAAATGATCTTGCGTATGATGCATGTGCTGGTGGGAGATAACATGAATGAAGTGAGAAAGTTGAAGTATGTGCAAGCTGATCGGGGCTAGTCGGATAGAATAGTCATAAAAAATATAATCTTGTTATGATGAAAGTGCTGGTGGGAGATTACATGTAGTAAGTGGAATAGTCGAAGTGTGCGCAAGCTAATTGGACAGAATAGACAGAAAAAGATAATCTTGTGTGTATGATGCCTGTACTGGTGGGAGATAATAGGTACTAAGTGGAAAAATTATAGTGTGTGCAAGCTGCTGGACAGAATAGTCATAAAAAAAAAAAATCTTGTGTATTATGGGTTGGCAATTTGCTTTAGAAAAGGATTGCTCTACTTAGGCTATGCATGAAAATGTATAATCTTGCTATTGAGAGATCTCTTTTTTATCGGTAATCCAGGTATGGCTACGCTATTCGGTTTTAGGTTTTCTCATCATTGTCGGTTAGTTTTGGGGTCAATTTAAAAAGAAATAACTCTTAATTAGTGTGAAAATGAAGCTTGAATTTCCACCCAAGGGTGTGGCCAATGAAGTAGATTGAGAATCCTGAGGTCTCAAATTCAATTCCCAATGGAGGCAAAATATTAGGTGGTTTCTTCTCATCTATCCAAGCTTTTATCGATAAAGTTACCCGGTACCTGTGCTTTTGGGAGGTAGTAGGCATGCAAGCTGACCGGGACACCACGGTTATCAATTTTGTTTTTTATAATAAAGCTTTAATTTTTACAAGTTCATTGCAAGAATTTGAGATTTAGTTGAATGAAGATATGTCATTTCTTCATTCTTTCTTCTCTATTCAAATTTACAGCAGTTCCTGGTGGATTGGCTTTAGAGCTGCTATTTGAACTATCCTTCGTTATTATGTTAATGGTCATAGGCATAGGAAGCCTTACTGCAGTGATTCTTTAAGCATGCACTTTAAACTAGTTTTACGTTGTTTTGTTTTATCCTTCCTTCCATTATTGATGTATGTACCTGTGGATACATCTTTTCAGGCAGGTTTGGCCAAACTCCTTGGGCTTGCTGGTGAGACTAATGTGCAGGCAAGTTGTTAGAAATGCTTGCACATGTAGTTTTAAAGCATTTAGTTTTTTGTTTCTTATCGAAATTTTATAATTTGTAATTGAAGGGTGAAGACCAAAAGAAACTGGATGTACTCTCAAATGAAGTTTTCATCAAGGCTTTGGTCAGCAGTGGCCGAACAGTAAGACCTACTCATCTTTAATGTAATGTGCTAAAATACCTAGTGGTCGTGATCTTAAAGATCTCAAATTATACAGTGCATTCTCGTGTCTGAAGAAGATGAAGAAGCTACTTTCGTAGAGCCAGCTAAGCGTGGAAAGTATGTATTGTAGCTCTTCATAGTTCATAGTATTTACAACTTTTAAGAACCAAGTTGTTTTCATTAATATGACTGCATTTCATACAATATTCAAAACAGGTACTGTGTAGTTTTTGATCCTCTGGATGGATCTTCCAACATTGATTGTGGTGTTTCTATTGGAACGGTATCATTCCAGTTTGAGCTATTAATTTTTCATTCACAGGCTTTTAACTACGATAACTTTTACCTATTAAGTGATGTCACAATGACATAATGCATCTGTTTTATCTAGATCTTTGGGATTTACATGATGAAAGATGTTCATGAACCAACACTAGATGATGTCTTGCAACCTGGAAAGAATATGTTAGCTGCTGGATACTGCATGTATGGAAGTTCTTGTACGGTACGGATATTGCCTTTTATGGCAAGACTTGAAAGTGTTGTTGGATTCCACAAACATAGATCCAAAAACTATACGAATTATTATATGATTCTTATTGGGAACTGTTTCCAAGTGTGAATCACAATTACCAGTGACAATATCTTTTTTCGGGTTCGGTTGTTTGCAGCTTGTCTTGAGCACTGGAAAAGGTGTTAATGGTTTTACACTTGACCCCTCTTTAGGCGAGTTCATTTTGACTCATCCAGATATCAAGGTAACATTATTCCTCAGCTGTTTACTTCTATTCAAAGTGCACACGTATCTCCTTCCTTGTCTAGTTTTTGTAACTATTATTTTCTGCGTGTCAACATATCCAATTTATGATTTTCTATTTGTTTGTTTTGTGTTATTTTGGTTGATGCATCTTTCTGTTTACCAAGATCATTACATTGCTTCCCACATGCAGATTCCGAAGAAAGGGAAGATTTATTCAGTGAATGAAGGAAATGCCAAGAACTGGGATGGTCCAACATCCAAGTATGTTTAATGAGTTTAGTATATACATTTTCCAGTTTCTATGATGTCTTACCTTTCTTCAAATTTCAGATATGTGGAGAGCTGCAAATTCCCCAAGGATGGTTCTTCACCCAAATCTTTAAGATATATTGGAAGGTATACTTGAGCTGTGTAGTGTGAGATTTTAAGTGCTCAAATTGCTTAGTTTCTTACGTGTGATGTACGTAGAAATAAAGATGAAAGACTTCTGGTGAATCATCTATTGCTAACGTGAATATCATGATAAGAATCATTCAGTGACCGTCTCGCAGCTCTTATAAGTTAACTAGAGTTCAATACTTCAAAAGTTAAAAGGTTCATATGAGATGTGCAGGTAGGGTCGTATGTATGTCAAACACTTATAATCAAGCTCGAGTTGTTTGGTTTGATTGGATTGGTTAAAACAGTTCCTTATATTTCATTGAGATATGAATAGGTCTTGAGAATTCTGAAAACCGACAATGAGTTTGATGTTGGTGTTTTGTAGTTTCAATTGTTGTTATTGCTAGAGTGCTGCTTAGCTGACCTGATTAAAATGCAAAAGGTGGATTTCTGTGTTGCCATGTTTTGTTAGATGTATGTTAAAAATGTTGCCTGATGTAAAGAACACCTCATTTTACATGAATATGGACTGTAACTTGCAGCATGGTAGCTGATGTTCATCGCACTTTACTCTACGGAGGTATCTTTTTGTACCCAGCTGATAAGAAAAGCCCCAATGGAAAGCTGCGGTAAGTTATGAACATCCTCTGAGTCATGAAGAAACTTCTCAACAATAATTTTCTGAAAGGTTACAAATGAAATCGTACGAAACAGGGTTCTCTATGAAGTATTTCCCATGTCATTTCTGATGGAACAAGCAGGAGGCCAAGCATTTACCGGAAAGGAGCGGGTAAGATATCTGAATATTTAGTTACACCAATAAAATAGAAACTTTAAGTTTGTTTTGACTCCACTTAGTCCTTGCCAAAGAATTCTCATCAAGATTAAGATTTTACTTTAATCTAATGAAAACATGAAGCCAACAACTACGCTTTAGTCCAAAACAAGTTGGGGTCGGCTATATGAACTCTGATGGACCATGTTATGCAGGCGCTGGACTTAGTTCCTACGAAGATACATGAAAGGGCGCCAATATTCCTCGGTAGTTACGATGATGTGGAGGAGATCAAAAGGCTTTATGCTGCTGAAGAGAAAAACTAATGGATGTACATTTACATTCATTATCTCACTTCACAATTCTTGCTGATGCTCATTGCTAATTTGTTGAAATATAGCAAATTGCTGGTTGTTATAAGTCACAAAAATCATCAATTATGACTACAAAT